AACAGCATGACGTTGGTGCTGGTTTGGCAATTTTTGTTTGTCTTTTAGAGGTAAAACTATACATTCACTTCCTAATGGCTGTGATTCATATTCGCAATTTAAAAGACCTTTTTTGTCACCAAACAGAATGCCATATTCTGTATTGGTATTTCTAAATAGAAGTCTGAGAAATTTGGATCTTTTGATGTAAACATGAGGTCTGCTGAGTTTGTCACAATCAGTGTATGTGCTGCAGGTCTGAAGCCGTCAAAGGTGCAGTCATTGGGATTGACCTGGGAACCACAAACTCATGTGTTGCAGTCATGGAGGGCAAACAGGCCAAGGTGATGCTTTAGATGATTCACATGTTTGTTTGTTTGTTTGTTTAACCCCCTATCTTTAATCTAGCAGTATCTATGGAAATGGAACCCACCCTGAGTGCTGATACTAGAGAACTTCTAAGCGGGTAAACTAAATGTTGTGTTAATTAACTCAATGGAAGTTTGTTACTGTACATGTAAGTAAACCAGAACAGGAAAAAAAAATCAGACTGGCCAAATAGATGGGATCGTAGACACTGATGCAGCATTACTCAAGAGCCTTACTGCCCCAGGATATGATTAATAACAAAAGTTAAACATCAGATCAGTGCATCCCTGGTAAAGAAATGGGTAACTTTGTGTAACCGGAATCCAAAGTTGTTGTTTTTTTTCTCTGTAGTTTTTCTACTGTTTTGAGAAAAAAAACTAAAAAATATTAACACTCATTAATTGAGGTTTTTTGGTTCTTGGTCTTTTTTTCTCTTCTACCTCCAACTTTAAAAACTGGGGTTGATTGATGAATCTGATGAAACAATGATTCCTCCAATCTAAATGTTTTCTTATTTATATTCAGGTGCTGGAGAACGCAGAGGGAGCGAGGACAACTCCTTCAGTCATTGCTTTCACAGCAGATGGGGAGCGTCTGGTGGGCATGCCTGCTAAACGCCAGGCTGTTACCAACCCTCAGAACACATTGTATGCTACCAAAAGACTGATTGGACGGCGCTTTGAAGACCCAGAGGTCCAGAAAGATCTGTGAGTTCATTTCTGGCCTTTTAAAAGATTCCGGGGTGGCTGTAGCTCAGGAGGTAGAGCAGGTCACCTACTGATCGGAAGGTTGGAGATTCGATCCCAGGCTCCTCCAGTCTGCATGCCAAGTATCCTTGGGCAAGATACTAACACCAAGTTGCTCTCCGATGCATCCATCGGAGTATGAATGTGTGTGCGTGTAGTTAGAAATCACTCAGTATAGAGGTAGCAGGACTCGCAAAATCGCTAGCCCGACGTCCCGGGGCTAGCGATTTTTCCAGTCGGGCTACCAAAACCTATCTCTGCCCTGCCCGTCGGGCTATCGTAGGAAGGAAAAATATATGTCAATGCTTTTGCATTCTTTCGGAAATGTAGCTGGGTAATTATGTCATTGGCATCGCTGAGCCACTGTCAATATGTGACATATTGAAATCGCGTTTGAATTTGCGCTTGTTTTTTGCTTTCACTTTGCAATCGCGCGAACTGTGTATAGAGAACGACAGTACTGACTGGTGAGTGACGATAATTTGCGCACCAATTCCTCTGACATCGTCTTATCAATCGTTAGCTTACTATGCAAACATGACAAGTGAAATCTCCCGCAGCAAGCTTAAACATGTGAGAGGTTGATCGCGCTGAGAATCGCTGAGCGTTATGCGAGTGTCTGTGTAAAAGCAGCAGGATATATATTTTAGTTCTGCTGAGCCAAATAAGACAGGTC